AACAAACTTATTACATGGTGTCAGAAGTAAAAAAATAAGATAAATGGGTGCGTTCAGCCGATACTCCGCTAGCCCATGGTAGAAATACAAGGGTATGCTCATACCGTGTCAGACCACTGCGCATTCCCACCACTTTTATACAAACTTACGTCATATTCGTGTAGCATCGGAATGAATCGGATGTACTCGGTGATTCGCAATGGCTGCGTTCGCTCGGTTCGCTGTTTATGTCGAGTAATTCGTTTGTGATTATTACAGTGTACGCAATGGCGTGTAATGTGAAAGGGTGTGGGAACTATCCGGCAAAGACCAGAAAGATCGAAGGAAATAAAATAAAATATTTTTCCTTCCCAAAGGATCCAGCACTGTTTAATAAGTGGCGTCAAGCATGCGGAAAAGAAAATATTTCACCAAAATATGGTTTGTACTTTTGTATAGATTTCTCTTGTTTATTATTATAAGCATATATTTAAGAATCTTAAACCTTGTTTGCTTCAGCTAGGATATGTTCGAAGCATTTTGCTGATGAAGCTTTTACGAAGCCCTTACAACAACATCTACTAGGTTATTCACCTATACGAACTAGGAAGATACATCCTGATGCTATCCCGACGTTGCATCTCCATGCAGTACCTCCACTAACATCAAACGAAAATGTGTTAGCTGAAACAATGCCTTTGCCTGTATCAAATGAAGTTTCGATGGATGTTGAACAGACACCAGCATCGTCCAGTATAGAAGAACAGACACCAGCATCGTCCAGTACAGAAGAACAGACAGCAGCATCGTCCAGTACAGAAGAACAGACACCAGCAAAATATAAAGCAAAATATATAGCCGGATACGTAGCATTTAGATTTAAAAGCACAGATAAAACATTAGGTATTGAAACGCGCCAATTGGAAACAACGGGTGACCAAGATTGGCTGCAAGTTATTTCGCGAGGAAAATGTATGTATCCGAGTGACAAATTATTACAATGTGCTCGTATAATGAATATTGAGTTTGCTAAATATCACGGATCCAGTTTGAATAAAGAAAATCTTATATTTCATAACTTAGCAAAAATAATAGAACCACAATTGAAAATTAAAATACCGAGAGAGGCATTACTATGCCTCATTAGGACTAGGACATATATTAGGCTGCGCGAAATGAACCGAGCGATTGCAAGCGCAAATCACAGGCAAAAAAGAAGAAAGATGTCAAAATTTACTAATAAAAAACCTGTATATTAAATATTTGCATTTATTGTTATTTGATCTTTTATCTGCATCTTTCCTCTGCATATATAGTTCTTTATGTCGTACGCCACAATATATTTTTGTTTTGCGTCTCAGCTGACAATTCTTTTCCAATCGTTTTCCGACCAGTTTTGATTAAAACTAATAATTCGCAGAATTTTAATAATAAATGACTGGAAATTAAAATCTCGTTTTATGTGAAATTTTTCCGTACGTCGCAATGATTTTTATTCAATGCACACAATTCTTTTTTTCTTAATAATAATAATATTTTCTGTAATATCATATATTTAGACAAATCCACATAAAATAATTATAAAATTCGTCAAATAACAATAACGTTTCTAACATCTACAACGAGAGACAAATTCGGGAAACGATGAGCGTTTATCCGTATGTCACGTGCGTTTTTTTTATATTTATATATTTTTGTTCATATATATTTATTTATTTAT